TGCATTTTGTTTATTTTGCTTTATATTTTTATATTTCATTTTTTTCAATTGCGTAAAAAATGTATTGAATAATGACCCCCAAAATGGCTACCACTTTTGTCAAGGGAGCTTAATATTGTAAAAATAAAATCCAGAGTTATCATTCTGTGGCAAGTTCAATATCATTGCTTCTGGATAATGAAAACAAGATTCATTTTTATCAAATACAAAAATATCAATGATGTTTAAAGGTCTGTATGGATATAATTATATGCATTTTCTCCCTTGCATAGTTAAGTGCTAAAATGTTCCATCTCATAATTTTCTGAGAAAAAATGTTCACATTTATGGGTATATATAAATTAGGGATTGGCTGTGAGAATCAAGGTTGCAATAAAGCCAGGCCTGTATTAAATGTCAATGTTTTGATGAAGTATTGACATTACACACTTGAGAACAGTTTTGTTGTATAATTGTCAGGAATTCGGTTAATTCTAGGGTTGAAGAGAGTTTCAGATTGTCTTATTTTCATAGATTATATATCTGGGTGTAAGTGACCTTAATCAGTCTTTAAGACTTAAATAATGCATATTCAGCACATTGTTTTTGTGTCCTAGGGGCATCCATGGCCCAGTGTTTAAGGTTGTTGACTTCAAACAGTTATTTTCCTCTCACCTCTTTAGGTTCGAGCTGCACAAGGGTGGATCATCAGATTCTTCATGTGAGATAGTTTATATTACAGATTGTTTGTGGTTCTACTCCTGCCTGTTTGTACCTGAAATAATGTACAGAGGGGCACTTAAGGTCTTTCTCCACCAGTAAAGCTATAAAGTTGCCGAAATATTATGACCTATGTTGGTGTGACATAAAACTCAGCCAAAGAAAAATTTAAAAAATTATATCTTACACAGTGGGAAATGGAATCTTTTTGTAAGGATCTGTGGTTCTTTTACTCACTGAAGTATTCTGTAGATTTCATTTCATGATCAGTGCTTTTTCTGTTAAAAGGAAAGAATGTGTTAAGGGTAAAAGGTGAGGAAAATGAGGTCTCAGTTATGGTAATCTGTGTTGGTGATTGATGTAAACAGTACCCATATGGCGCCAAAAATCAGTCGAGAGTTTTCCAATTAACTTACAGCAGACAGGTGTGGTAGACCTGAGATTGTTATAATACAAATTCTCTTTAAAATTGTTTATATTATGGAGGAATCCCTTGAGACTTATAGAACTGCAGTTTCGTTTTCAATTTTGATATTTTTTATAGGTTAGTGGAATAGATAAACTGCTTTTTCATATAGGAAACATTCTCTTCACGGAAGTAAAAATCAGCAATATCTTGATGGAAAAACAAAAAAACTTTTATTTGCAATTCAATCTGTTGAAATGTTTTTCAATTTTAGGGTTTGAGGGAATTGCATTACAGAAAATGTAATTTTTGCTACACAAATGTATTTGAAGATGAAGAACATTATTGAACATCTAATGATCTATGGATTTTTATAATGTAGCCTGAAGCTTGGAAAGATTGAATATCATTCTGTAATGTATGAGGGATGACTGCATGCTGATTTTTGAAGTGAAAAGAAAAGAAAGTGAAGTTTATTATCACATGCTGGAATTTAAAGTAAGACATTTATAGAGTTTATTACAAGCATGTTTGAAGTATAAGGACATATGAAGGATTTACTGCAAAAATGACTTCAGTTGAAGTGAGGCACAGTCCTTGTTTAAGTGGTAACAGGGAAATGAGTCCTCTAGATTCAAGGAGGGTAACTCCGCAATATGAGAATACTTCAAGGGAGGTGACTCAAGGCAGTCCTTGTCTGATTAAAGGGCCAGATGTGTGCAATAATGAACCAGGTTGTGAAGAAGGTTAGTAAAAGAGATGTTGTATGGTGTATTGTTGTTTTTGAAGTTGAGTAATAAGTAGAAATTCAGCAAATGTGTAGTACTGTTATTCTTTGATGGGATTATAGTTAAGTAGAAGTGGAGTAAAAGATCATTATGACTTCTTGGCCATGAGTATTTTATTATGATTTATAAGTGTTACTAGAATTGCCTTTATTACAAGTGAAGGAGATTCACTTAGTTTTTGTGAAGCAACAGTAAATTCGCTTGACTTTTATTTAAAAGATGTTTTTGGCCACAGTGACAGCTATTACGTTTCTATGGTAATGTATCTGTTTTGGTCAAAGTATTAACCAAGGAAGTTAAATATTTTGTTTGATGTGAAATCATTCTTGCAATGCTAAAAGGCTTTCTTTCATGTTCTTAATTTTTTCTCTGAAGCATTGCATAATAAATATGTATTGGCGTAATAAATTTTAATTGACACTGCTGGGTAATTGTGTGAAATCTTTTCCAAGAGAATTTGAAATCTGTTTAAAGCAGTTTTCTAGTGGAAACATTGTGCTGACAAAAGTTTGGTATTGATTTTTGGTCTAATGGAAGTTTGTAACCTTGGCATGTTAACTGAGGGAATGTATGCAGTTATTTTTGGGTCCCAATAGGACAATATTATCCTTTTGAATTAATCACTGGTGCCCAAGGTTCTTTTGTTTTTGTAATGGATCAGGGTTGTCCTCCTTAAGTAAGTTTGAAAGATTGAGTTTTGATGAATTCTAGTTGTTAAAACATCTACATTTTCCTAAATTTGCATGAATACTTCTGCAATGTTCCCACTAGTATTTGAAACTAAGGGCTGAAATTCTGTTTTTTTTTCTAGAATATTATACCATTTCAGTCAAGTAAAGAAAACTCAAAATAAACCTAGGGTACTGAAAACATATTAAGGGTATATTAATACATCCCTCTTCCAATTTGGGAACACTGAGATGTGAAACAGGGTGATTAAAATCTTATGTCAGTAATTATTCTAGTTACAAAGTGAAATTCTTTGCCAGTAGCATTTTACAGGTTGCACACAATCACTTTTACCCCTGCTGAATTTATATTAGACTTTTCCAGCTTTGAATTTGGAAAAGTCCATTAGCAATTTCAGGGTGTTTTGATTTTTCAGTATTTATATACAGTTACATGTACACAAAGGATTGAGTTATTAAGCAATGTAACTAGAACATTGACAAACAGCAAAGATTTGATGGCTGGCCAAGCTCTGTACTGGTTGCAAAGGTCCAATATTATAATTATTATGGTAAATGATTCTATACAGATGATTCAACTGGTGTTAGCAGTTTTAAGTCGGGGATCCCAGCAGAAAGCTACATTGAGTTTACCAGAGCATAGTTCGATCAGCCATCGCATAGTTCCTGTGCATGGCATGCTGTCAAGCAGTTTACCAGTACTAGTTGCTTTTCACTTTCGCAAGGGACTGAGCTTTCGTACTTGCCAAAACAGAGGTACCAAGCTAATATTCGTGGAAAAGATTTCATGATAAATCTCAACAAAATTGCCCTGTCCTTGAATCAAACCTTGGTCGTCTGATTCAGGATCCAAAGCTCTACCTATTGAGCTAACCGGACAGCTCAACTGTTATATTCACAAACAATTCTCTTTATTTTACTGTATATTGTATAATAAAGTCAATGAATTTAAAAATTCCTTATTAAATTCAAAAGATAATCATATTGAATTCATAATCATAATTAATGCTTTAATTAAGTACAGCCAATGTAAAGACAATCCAGCCAACGGTTAAGAGTTTGTCCAGAAAGCATAGATATAAACAATGTATGATCACTCTATTTAATGAACTATGAAACCTTAATACTAGATGGATTTGTTATATCCATATATGAAATATGAATTAAAATTGTCGGTTTTCTCAGAAAAAATTGATTTTTCACTGCAGCAGGTACAGTTTACTTTCTGGAACAATGCTAACAATGCATCAGGTAGAGGGAGGGAGAGATAAAAGAGTTTTTTTTTTTTTCTTTTAACATAATTAACTTAATACTTTGAAAGAACGCTTTATAAAAAGGATAGTAGGAAGTTAAATTTATGATTTTAATTTATTACAGAAATCTGTAATAACATTCTTTAAACCAAAAAATCTCATTCATCTTGTTGAATTATATGTTTTTGTTACAGATCAAAGGATAATAAGACTTAGAAAAAAATATATTTACCTGGAAGGAATGTTTGGTGTTATGTTTGGTTTACTCAGTAATTAAGTCAGTAAGGAAGGTATGTTTTTTTTTTCTGCTGCCTCTGAACCTTCTTGATTGTTTATTCAAGGCTTCTGGTGCATTTTAGTTGTATTATAGTTGTATATATAAAGGCCTTTGATGCATTTGAGTGGTATTTGTATTTTATGTAAGACTTCTGATTAATTTGAGTGGTGTCCGTTGTTTATATCAGGCCTCTGATGCATTTTACTTTTTAGTGGTATTGGTTGTTCATAACAGGTTTCTGATGAGTGTATTTGAGTTGTTTTAGTGGGTTATATAAGATCTCTGATGCATTTGAGTGGTATTGGTTGTTAATATCAGACATCTAATGTTTTTGAGTGGTGTTTGATGTTTATGTGAAGACATCTGATGCATTTAATTGTTTTCTATGTTTAATAAGGCTCCTGTTGCATTTGAGTGGTGTTTGCTGTTAATAATCTATTTGAGTGGTATTAGTGGTTTTTATAAGGCTTCTGATACATTTGAGTGGTGTTGGTTGTTTATATTAGGCTTCTGAAGCATTTGAGAGGTGTTTGTTGTTTATATTTATATCTTCAGACACATTTAAGTGCTGTTGGTTGTTTATGAAAGGCTTCTGATGCATGATTGAAACTTAATGGTTTTTGTATTCATTGTGCGAAGCAGAATGAATACAGAGTTATAAGTACAATCTCAAAAAAAGGTAGGCAGAGTGGATTTGCTGAACAGCATCCATCCGCTTATACGTCCGTGACATAAAGTAGTTCATGATTTGCACTTAAATCGCTTTAAGCATACGCTAAGCGATGACTTATCTGTCCCAATGTTGCAAAAAATTATGTTAAAGTTTTTTCTACCCGAAAATCATGCACTTTAATCATGTTTGACATCTAAAAACATCGATAAAAATTTCCTGTATTTCTACGCTACAAATTATTATTAACGCATGCGCAGACTCACAATAATTTATCGAAGAGAACAACACGTAAGAGAAATTGCTCAGGAAAGAATCAACAACCATCGCACATATTGTAAGTAAATATATTTGAGTTATTGTTTTTTTTCATTGATTATCACTTTATATATTTATTCATTACATAACTTGACGAGTATTTTACGGAAAATTTGAATAAACGGCCAAGTTCAAAAACACTTTGATTGACTCGGCCGCTCGTCATTTTGTCATTTACGTAATTTTCCCTATAATTCGAATGAAAGTGTTAGAATGTTTCGATTTGAGACCAACTTATCCACTGATTTTGATCATTGTCATGTTTTTTTTGTTGTTTACTCGTGTGTCACGTAACTTGGTCATAACATAAACACAAACACGAGGTTGACCCACTTTTGAGAATTGGGCCCATTGTTGACAATAGCGTGAAAGGCGTTTGTTATTATCTACTGTCCTAGGATGATAACTTGAGCCTTTGTTTACATAACAAAGACCAATAACAATGCGAAAAATAGGTTAGGCAGATCAATGCCACAACCTATAAAAATGAAAATAAAACTACAATTCATCATAATGACTTGTTAGCGCAGTAGGTAGAGCAACCGTGTCAGTAATGTGTTTTAAACCCGTACAGGCAGAAGTTCGACTACTGATAAGACACGTTTTTTTTTACCTCAGAAAACAGTCAATTGTTCAGAAAAAAAGTTTGACCGGTTTTTTCATATACATACATGAATATGATATCGAAATATTTTATTACACTGCGATCAAAAAATACAAAAAGAGAAAAATAGAATGGAAATAAAAAAATAAATATATACTATAAAATATATATTATAAGAAGAAAACAAAAAGGAAAACGAAAAAATAAATAAAGAATAATGATAAAAAAAAAACCAGAGTAAGAAGAAAAAACTGTGGTTATAAAATGACACTAGGTGGGGTTCGAACCTATGAGTACCAAGGCACTAATAGTTACAATTACTATCCGACCTACCGACAGAGCCATAAACGATAATACACAAACGAATCTGTAAGAATAATGTTATATAGTATATGTAAGTGTTTACTTTTAAGATATCGGATAATAATCCAGATAACCCCGTTTTTTTCGACTTTCCCATGTACCGTTAAGACCAAATTATCATCTTAGGACAGTATTTCATCACTTTCTTTTCGTTAGAAAATGTGGTTAATGAGCTGCTTTTTAGAGTTTTGTATTTGGTTGTGAAATATTAACAAATTTCATTATGTAAGGTTCGCGCCATAAACATGACTCATACCGGAAGTTCCTTTGTTTGTTTACGACCGGAAGTCGCTTATGTTCAAAAATTAAATAAGAATCAAAATTACATGAAGGATTTAAAGTTAGATTGATGTGGTAAATGCTGTATAATATTTATTTCCAGGTTGACTGTAACCTTTTTGTCGTGGGTATTGTAGCGGATATTCCTTGTGACGTAAGTAAATCTATATACTGGTGACAATAATTTTTTATTATGAAAATTGCAGAGGCAGTCGGTGTGTGGTTTTGATACATAAAATGATCATGATATCTGCCACTTGCTTGATGCCTAAGTTTAAGTTCAATTTGTTTTATCAACATGTATATTGTTGTATCTAAGCTAGGACAGTCGTCTGTGGTTTATATTAGTAGAGGTGATTCAGCCATCTTTGTTTTTTACTAACTGGGTCTTGCTAAAGTGAAAGTATGCCAAAATTCATACAAGTTTAGATTACCAATATCTACATCATACTGCTTTAAAATTGTTAACGATTACTTTAAGTATACATTAAAGAGCCAGCTATGAAATACAAGGGAATCCAGGAACCAGTATTTAGCTTTTATTGAATAGACCCCTTTGTTCTTTTACATGTCTGGATTTCTGAGTACAGCTCTAGGTAGGTTGGAAACACTAAAAGTGTCTCTAAACAATCCCAAGGGTGTAACCCTATATTAAATCCAGGATCTCGGGAGTGATAATCCTTCACTTCCTAGGGCAACTCTAAAAGAATCCAAATATAGAAGCTACTGCTGTGGTCAAAGTAGCAGAAAGTGAGATGAAATGTACAGAAGGGAGGTAACTCCTGTACCAGAAATTATTGATAAAATTAATATGGCAGATAATCATCGTATGCATTCGCCCTTTAAATATTTTTCTTATTTAAACAAGTAAAATGGTTTTGGATGGTTTTGAAAATGAAATCTCTAAATTGATATTTTCAGGGAAATAAAAGATTATTTACTTTAATATTCACTTGGAAAGGCTGGTACATGTAGCTAGAAAAAAGTACAGTATAAGATTAAAGAAAGACTAGAAGATTATTACAAACAACAGGTACTTATATAATATTTAATGTATATTTCACAAACCAAACTGTTTTCCAAAAAAAATGAATGAAAACATGCATTTTTACCAGTGTCACCACGGGTCAGATTAACAGACCCATTCCCAGTGGCAAATAATGCCAAATATGCTTTTTTTCTTTTCCAAGTTTAGAAAAAAATCATAAGTCAAAATTCCGTTATCAAAGGTGACAATTTTTCTTCATTCCATTTCAATCCAATATGGTACCAGACAGATGATGTTCAAAAACACATTCCATTGTCAATTTTTTATGTATTTTTTATGCTTTGAATGATATACAATTTGTTGGATTAACAACTTTGTACATGGTACTAAATATTTTTCCCAATCAAGATGCAAAATTTCTTAACCCATTACTTCATGAGCATTTTGTGAAAATGGCTGTTTCCATTGAAAAGTCTCCCGTTACAAGTTCAAATTGCTATAATACTATAAAAACTGCTTCAACACTAATCAAACTTGGCACAAATGTTGACTGGACCATTGCCCTTGCAACAACATGCTCAGGCTTAAATTTTCTGTTCCCATGGCAACGAGGGGACATCTCAAAATTGCCCAAAATCACTACTTTGCCTCGATTTTTTCAGTCAAAATTGATTTCAAAGTGATGCCACTTCTCAATGGATTGAGATATAGTCAAATGCTTTTCAGCATTGGTTACACGTTACCTTATGATCAATCTGGGGTCATTTACAGCCTCTCACAAGTCCAAAATTTTCTTGGCATCATGCTTAGAATGGTTTCACACAGGTCAGTAAGACCGGTGTACACAATGTACTGTCTGCACATATGTGTCAGAAAAAATATCACAAAAAAGGAATTTAGTATTACTATGAGTATTTATTAAAGAAATTGTATTTCAAATATCAGGGCAAAAACACCATTTTTGGGGAAGGGGCCTCAGCCTTTTTCTTGGGGAAAATATGCGTGATATTGGCATACTTCGGGAAAAGGGGTCTCAAATTTAACTTAAACTTTTAACAAGTTCTTCAAAATAGAAAAGCAAAAAGCACTTGGAAATACTAATAAGGCAGTAAAAGACCTTAATTCAACAGGATCATTTAATTTTGTTCTAAATTCTAAGGGAAATTTCAAAAGACTGGGGAATTTTGAGGACCAAACTGGGGAAGAAAAAAGGCTATTTTGGTTGGGGAAGCAGCCTATATTCGGCCTCTACAAAGAAGGGTTTTTTGGCCCTGAATATATTTAAATAGTATTATTGAAAGTCATTTTGTATGACAGACACACAAATCTAGTGCTCTGCATTATAAATGTAAGAAGAGACAAATAAGATAAGCATTTTTTTGCAAATTATTGCACTTCATATAATTTTTATTGCTTTTTTTTAAGGTGGACATGTGTCACTGTCAAGCGAATGAAGATAAGCATCACACTCGGTGGGAATCTCCAGTTTCCAGATGTAGTGATCATAACTGTATAGGCACCATTAACACTTTGGACTAGTTGGAGTATTTTAGAGGGCTAGTCTGAATTGAATCCCCTGTCAATAGTCAAGGCCAGTCATGAACATTGTGTTGAAGGAAAATGTTAAAACTCGGATTTTCCGCTTAACCAATCATTACTTTACCTTATATTCAGTGCGGTAATGTAGGAAATGGTTACTTTCTGGAACAGAGCTGTCAATTATTTTTAATTTATTAGCTTGTTAGTGTTATCGTCGGACAGTTGTGAAGTAAAAACATCATAGTTTGACTGTATACAAGTTGCCTTAAAGAAAGTATGTCGAAATCTTAACAGTTATTCGTTGATTTTGTAGAAATTGACTAGAATTCACCTTTGTTTACATGCATCGCTTGGACGTCGAAAACGACATGCAATGACATTTCAGTGAAATTTGGAAACTTGCTCGTATTTTGGAGCATTTTGTAGGATTTCGATGAAGTAAAAAGTGTTTATGATAGGATACATTATTCCTAGAGACAACCATAAAGATAAAATAGTGATCTGGTGTATTTTTACCGAACAGTTCTTGTTTGTTTTGCATGATATTTTTCTCTCGTTAGGGACCTTTATTCTTTATATATAGTATTATGAGCATATATATGGGTAAATGTGGTATATAGTGCCTGTGGTTTTAACATGTATCTTAGCTTGCCTGGTGTAATGATAAGTAATAAACCTGAGAATTGAAACTATGAGAATAAATTGTTGTTATTTAAGTCCCCTTCTATTTTCATTAAGAGGGGACTAAAGGCTGACCCATTTCTGTATGTCAATGAAAGCTGAACTTTGCTATAACTTAAATGGTACAAAAGTAAGGTTCATCATACTGGTATCTGATATAGAACTATACAGAGATTTAGCATGTTATTATAATTTATGCTCCTATGATTCTGGATAAATATCTGTGTTCATTCCATACAGACTTGTACTTTTGGGGAAAAAGGTTGCTCATGGGAGGAAAATATGTTTTTAATGGTGTTTTTGAGATTTTAGTTGATAAAGGAAAAAAAAACATAGTCTGTACTTAGGAAGACATTTGTCCTTCACACTCTTGTCCGAAATATGAATATAACTAGATATGTATTGAAGGGATTTTATGTAAACTTCACAAAGTGATAGAGACTTTTAAGAGGAAGTGCAATGTTCAAGAAACATAACTCTACCTTGCTTCATGTTTTAATTATATTCCTTAAGTTAAAAATGCTTATTCCAAACTATCACTGAATCTACATCAACTTGAACGACTCGAATTTTCCAATGTGTCAAAGAACCATAACTCCATTCCTTAGTTTTTAGCTCACCTGTCACAAAGTGACAGGTCAAGCTTTTGTGATCCCTTTTCGTCCGGCCGTAAACTTTTACTTTAAATGACATCTGCTCATAAACCACTACGCTAATTTCATCCAAACTTCACAAGAATGTTCCTTTGGCTGTCACCTTTAAAAAATTGTGCAAAGAATTTAATTCCATGCAGAACTCTGGTTGCAATGGGAACCGAAAAGAAAAAAACTTTAAATATCATCTTTAAAAAAACCCTAAGAGCTAGAGCTTAGATATTTGGCTTGAAACATCCTTTAGTGAGTGTCTACCAAGTTTTTTAAATAAAAGCCCTGGGGTCAAAATTGGCCCCGCCCCAGGGGTCTTTGTTTTTCCCTATGTGCATATAGTAAAAACTTTATAAAATCTCCTTTTAAAGAACCCAAAGAGCTAGAGCTAAGATATCAAGCATGAAACATCATCTAATGAGTGTTTACCAAGTTTGTTCAAATAAAAGGCCCGGGGTCAAAATTGGTCCTGCCCCAGGGGGTCATTAATTTTCTTTAAATGCATATAGTAAAAACTTAAAAAAATCTTCTTTTAAGAAACTAAAAGAGCTAGAGTTAAGATATTTAGCATGAAATATCTTCTAGTGAGTGTTTACAAAGATTGTTAAAATAAAAGCCCTGGGGTCAAAATTGGTCCTGCCCCAGGGGGTCATTAATTTTCTTTAAATGCAAATAGTAAAAACTTAAAAATCTTCTTTTAAAGAACCCAAAGAGCTAGAGCTAAGATATTTAGCATGAACATCTTCTAATGAGTGTCTACCAAGTTTGTTCAAATAAAAGCCCCGGGGTCAATATTGGCCCTGCCCCAGGGGATCATTGATTTTCCCTACATGCATATAGTAAAAACTTCAAAAATCTTTTTTAAAGAACCCAAAAAGCTAGAGTTTTTATTATAAGTTGAAACATCTTCTAGTGAGTGTCTACAAAGTTTGTTCAAATAAAAGCCCTGGGGTCAAAACTGGCCCTGCTCCAGGGTTGTCATTGTTTTTAACAGTATATGTTAGTAAAAACTTAAAAAATCTTCTTTAAAAAAACCCAATAAACTAGAGCTTTGATGTTTAGCATGAATCATCTTCTTATGGATGTCTTCCAAGTTTGTTCAAATAAAAGCCCTTGGGTTAAAACTGGCCCTGCAGGGTGGGGGGGGTGCTTTTTATGAATGGAATCAAGAGAGATGAAGTCTAAAATGTGATACTGTCAATGTGACTAACCTTGAAGTAAACAGATGACACAATGTTTTTTCAATGTCATGGGCATATAATGAAGAGGTACATGATTATTTGTATACACTTTTCCTTAATAAATACTTTCTAAATGTTTGACATGTTTAAAGGCCAACACAGGGCTCAAGGTTTATTTAAAATCTGTAAGCTTGGCACTTAGAGCCAATTGTATATTAATTATTTCAATATCTTTATTTATCATTATGCAATCTGTTGTTAATTTAGGAACAAAAGTCGATAGCAAAAACATTTTAGCCGTGTCATGACGAAACCAACATAATGGGCATCCGCCCAGTCTGATCAGGATCCATACTGTTCGCTATCAGTTTCTCTACTTGTAATAAGGTTTGTAAGCGAACAGCATGGATCCTGATCAGACTAACCTGGTCTGGATCCATGCTGGTCGCAAACCCATAATGTTGGTTTTGTCATGACACGGCTCATTTGTGACATGTAATTCACTTAAATTGTATTTTATTTTGTATATATATTTCATCTTCAAAACAATTAAAGTAATGATTATAATAGCATTGATTTCATATTTGTTTGTCTTAATAATTAGCTTTGTTTTAAATATAACAGTGTAGTTTTTATTGTTGGTTTATCTTGTTTAAGATTTGTTTAAACCGAATACCAATCAGTCTATATAATAATTGGAAAGACAGAATATTGCTTGTTTTAGAGTGATATGCTTAATGAATATTCAGCAATAAGTATTTACTGTATAATTACCACTCTGACCTAGGGTAAACAAGATAAGCTGTCATAAAGATGTAAATTTTGTTTAATTTAAGAATTCTATTTATGTTGCTGTTAAAATGCGTATGATACAATTTTATTCCTGTTTTCTGTATATACACACAGTTTTAAGTAATTTATGCTTTGAAATGTCAAAAAATGCAGATACTTTTGTTAAATAAGTCAAATAATAAAAAGAATCAGTTGATAAAAAACAAGGCCTGATGAAAACCAAAGGCCTGATGACATTTTTTAAAACCATTTCATTAATAATTTTATCGATAACATTTTTTTAAAGTGTTGTATATATATTTACTTGTTTCAGTTCTATTTAAAAAAAAAAACACTATTTTAAAAAAAAAAAAGAACTCTTCTAGGAAGGGATATTTAAGATTTGCAAGAATTAATGTAAGCACATATTTGGACATATACATGTATACTAATGTGAATTTATATTTTTTTTACCCAAGGTGTTAGAAATTTATCATTTTTTGTGGGACCAGACCTCTTAAATGATTGAAAAGTTCATTTGATGCCGGTAAAATTATTGTTTACAAAGCATAATTCAAGATTGTTGTAATATGTAAGCATTATAGTGGTATTATGCCTATCCAATGTTACTTGATGAACATTCAAATATTATTTTTCATCAAATTCTTTTTCAAAGGCTAGGGTTGGATAACAATTAAGTGGGAAAAGTTTTACAATGCTTCATACTTAATAAATTTCTTGACTTTCACTCAATATATTTGTTATTATTCATCCTTAGTCATTTCATTATACAATCTTTTAATGACATATATACAGGTAATGCAACTATTATTGCAAGGGAATAAGCATAATACCTCTAACATGCATTTGTACTTTATTTTGTATATATATTTCATCTCTTCAAAAACAATTAAAGTAATGATTATAATAGCATTGATTTCATATTTGTTTGTCTTAATAATTAGCTTTGTTTTAAATATAACAGTGTAGTTTTTATTGTTGGTTTATCTTGTTTAAGATTTGTTTAAACCGATTACCAATCAGTCTATATAATAATTGGAAAGACAGAATATTGCTTTGTTTTAGAGTGATATGCTTAATGAATATTCAGCAATAAGTATTTACTGTATAATTACCACTCTGACTTAGGGTAAACAAGATAAGCTGTCATAAAGATGTAAATTTGTTTAATTTAAGAATTCTATTTATGTTGCTGATTTAAAATGCGTATGATACAATTTTATTCCTGTTTTCTGTATATACACACAGTTTTAAGTAATTTATGCTTTGAAATGTCAAAAAATGCAGATACTTTTGTTAAATAAGTCAAATAATAAAAAGAGAATCAGTTGATAAAAAACACAGGCCTGATGAAAACCAAAGGCCTGATGACATTTTCTAAAACCATTTCATTAATAAGTTTATCGATAACATTTTTTTTTAAAGTGTTTGTATATATTATTTACTTGTTGTCAGTTCTATTTAAAAAAAAACACTATTTTTAAAAAAAAAAACTCTTCTAGGAAGGATATTTAAGATTTGCAAGAATTAATGTAAGCACATATTTGGACATATACAAATGTATACTAATGTGAATTATATTTTTTTTACCCAAGGTGTTAGAATTTTATCATTTTTTGTGGGACCAGACCTCTTAAATGATTGAAAAAGTTCATTTGATGCCGGTAAAATTATTGATATTACAAAGCATAATTCAAGATTGTTGTAATATGTAAGCATTTAGTAGTGTTATTATGCCTATCCAATTAGTTACCGTTGATGAACATTCAAATATTATTTTCATCATCAAATTCTATTTCAAAGGCTAGGGTTGGATAAACAATTAAGTGGAAAAGTTTTACAATGCTTCATACTTAATAAATTTCTTGACTTTCACTCAATATATTTTGTTATTATTCATCTTAGTCATTTCATTATACAATCTTTTAATGACATATATACAGGTAATGCAACTATTATTGCAAGGGAATAAGCATAATACCTCTAACATGCATTTGTACTTTATTTTGTATATATATTTCATCTTCAAAACAATTAAGTAATGATTATAATAGCATTGATTTCATATTTGTTTGTCTTAATAATTAGCTTTGTTTTGAATATAACAGTGTAGTTTTTATTGTTGGTTTATCTTGTTTAAGATTTGTTTAAACCGATTACCAATCAGTCTATATAATAATTGGAAAGACAGAATATTGCTTGTTTTTAGAGTGATATGCTTAATGAATATTCAGCAATAAGTATTTACTGTATAATTACCACTCTGACCTAGGGTAAACAAGATAAGCTGTCATAAAGATGTAAATTTTGTTTAATTTAAGAATTCTATTTATGTTGCTGTTAAAATGCGTATGATACAATTTTATTCCTGTTTTCTGTATATACACACAGTTTTAAGTAATTACTGCTTTGAAATGTCAAAAACTGCAAGATACTTTTGTTAAATAAGTCAAATAATAAAAAGAATCAGTTGATAAAAAACAAGGCCTGATGAAAACCAAAGGCCTGATGACATTTTTCTAAAACCATTTCATTAATAATTTTTTCGATAACAATTTTTTTAAAGTGTTGTATATATATTTTATTTGTTTCAGTTCTATAAAGTTTAGTTCTCTTGTTTTTTGTTAATAAAGTTATTTATTGAATGATTTTGTTATTGTAATTTGAACCTACAAGCCAATCAGGTTTAGAAAACATTGCTGAACGACAGACTTCCAGGGTTGACTGAGGTTGATCCAGCTCGCAATTAGCTTAAAATAGTTTTCATTTACTATCAGTTCCGTCAGATCTGTAAACACAATGAATACCCCAGTACTTTCAGTACTTTGATTTATTTTTATTCACAATATATTGTTAGAATCATTTAACGATTTATCTGTGTTTACAAATATTTACCTTCATTTTAGCGTGTCACTCACGATGATCACGTTTTTCTCATGCTAAATTGAAACAATTCATTCAGTTTATTCATTTAGTTAGCGCTATAAAAATAACAATTATGTAGGTTAACTTTTTGAAGTTTAACCAGTACATTGTTCTGTCATGTTGTTCTGTATATGAGTCTGATATGAATAAACGTTTATGTTGTTATTTTTGTTATTTTGATTAATTGTGCATACAAGTTTATACATTTTTTTAACAAAAAAACTACTTTTCTTAATTTCTATTGAATTTTGACGGGAATTAAGGTAACAAAAAAACTACTTTTCTTAATTTCTATTGAATTTTGACGGGAATTAAGGTGCTAAGCATAAACAATATATTGTCAATAAGAGGATATTGAATGAGTGTTTTAAGCTGAATTCGGAGTTGAATACAATTATATTATGCGGGCCTGTGGCAAGCTTGATTTGGTTTTATTCTTGTATAATTCAAATGAACGAGTTTAATAAAATTATAGTACGCGAATGGTCGAAACGTTGATTAGGAAATTTTAATCCTAACAAAACAAAAGTTTTATTTTTCACTCTTGGGTCAGAAGCTTAACCATCTCTTTACGTAGATAATGTTTCTTTTGTTTATGTTGACAGTCATAAACAGTAAGGTGGCACTTCCATTACTGGTGGTAAATGCCATGACAACATCAACAAAATACTCTTGTCTGCTTCTTAAGATCTGGATCCATGAGATCATTTAAGTACAAACAAAAGAACTTAAATCAGATATGCATTTTCTACATGAGAACAATTTTAGAATATGTGTCAAGTGTCTGGAATGTTTGCACGAATTACGAGAAACACTCTCTTGAGAAACTTTTGTACGAAGCGGCACAAATTCTCACTGGCCTGACAAGGTATGATTCTATTAAACGCCTGCTTAATCAAATTGGTTGGGTGTCATTATCTGAGAGACGAACTTATCATAAACTTGTTACAGTGCTCGTATTAAGCTAAACAGGGCACCTAACCGGATTTTTTGATTGACATTTTTCCTGATACAGTCGCAAACAACGTGCCTTATGTTCTACGAGACAGGGCCAAATATACAAGCACGTCTTACTAAAAAAATTGTGCATACTTATTTTTTTCGATTAGCAACGTCACTCCAAATAATCATGGACACCGACCTTAGAAAATCATCCTCGCTGAATATTTTTGTAATCCAAACTTAACCAGGAATATAACCCTCCGACATTTCCTAGTTTTTTCTGTATTGGGGATCGTCTACACTCCGTTTTACACGCTCATATTCGAAGTAATTGTAGCAACTTAAATGCCGATTTATTTAGATATCTTTTAGGAGAATTTCCTTTTCAATTGCAGACGGTATACATTCTCTCCCTCTTTCTCCCTCTCCCGCAGCAAGATATTTAATATTTTTGGTTTCTAAAATACTTGTTGATATTTTAAAACGATCTTAATGTAATCTATAGTAACCCAAGTAATGTGTCCGAGAGATTTCCGCATGGAATTGTCGTTTTTTTATCCGGCGATTTCATTTCAATATTATTTGTATAAAAACACCATATTTATGCTATACGATCATGCGGTCCAACCCTTTTTTCTTTCAAAATGTATGTCACTCTGTACCTTTTTCGTTATATTTGCATTGTATTATAATAATAGAGTCGAAAAGCTGCACGTGTAAAAGAAAGGGAGTCTGAATTGTAGGGCTGGGGCGAGTATCCGAGTACTCGAATAATCACGAATCAAAGTGAAAAATCGAGTTTGAATATTCGTAAGCCCAAAGATCGTGTATCGCAATCTAATTTTTTTATATACATTTACTGTTTCTAACACTCTTAAAATCGAGAAAAATACGATTTATGAATAAATTATGGGAAGTTTACTTAAATACAAGGTGCCGTACCATAATGCTGAGCTAGGAAGTTATTGATTTCATAAAACAAAACAA